CCCGCGCGATGATCGCGCCAAAAATTCCCAGTGGCTAATCGTCTGATCCCTGTGATGGCGGACATTATTCATCCCTCTCAAACAGGATTAATCAATGGGAGACATATTCAAGACAACATATTACTCATTAACGAATTAATTAAACTATCAAGACAATCAAAGAATAACGCTGCCTTTATTTTTATCGATTTTGAGAAAGCTTATGATCATGTGGATTGGAGATTTTTAGATGCTTGCTTAGTTAAAATGAATTTTGGACAAAACTTAAGGAAATGGGTACGTATCCTACATATGAATGCAACCACACGCATTCTTATAAATGGGCTTCTTTCCCCGGAAATCAAACTACAACGGTCGGTCAGACAAGGAGATCCATTAGCACCCTTCTTGTTCTTAATCATCATGGAAGCACTAGGGGCCAATGTGAGGGCAAATAGAAATATAAAAAAATTGAGTATCTCAGGAATCCTTGAGGAAACCATCCCAATCTCTTCAATGTTTGCTGATGATCTTACTGTTATCATGGATGAGACACAAGAGAATATGGTTGAAATCCAAGCGCTAATGAACAGGTTCGCACAAGTCTCAGACATGGTTGTCAACTGGGGCAATAAAACCCAGGGCTGGTGGATCCACTCTGCAGGAGAGAGGCCACCGGAACAACCAAGAGTGAAATGGCTACCTTTAGAAGCACCAGTGCGTCTCTTGGGGATCTCCCTAACTGCAGTCGGGAAACCCACCACTCATAATGAGTGGGTAACTAAACCAGCTATTGACAAGATGAATTTATGGAAAAATAAGCATACTTCAGTATTTGGGAGAGCTCTTATTATTAACAATGTCATATTGGCTTCTATATGGTATAAAACGGAGTTGTGGTCGTTGAGTAAAATAAGCACTAAAGTGTTGCAGAGGCAGATCACAGCCTTTCTGTGGAGGGGTAATYATGATTTGGACAAGGTTATCCCTAGAGTGGCTTGGAGATATTTGTGCCAACCCAAATCCAAAGGGGGCCTAGGGATTCTAGACCCTACCCTTCAGTCGCAGGCTTTAGCTTTATAATCGATAAAAAACTTAATCTTGTCTACTGATTTACCGTGGCAACCAATGGCCTTAGAACAAATTAGAAGATTAGCAACCCAGGCAAGTGAAGATACTCATCCTCTTCCCAGGACTCGTCGTCAGGTAGTGGCTGTTGCCACAATGACAGGTGCGCGTACAGTCCCGGGTCGAAACGGGGCATGCACGACGGCCGCTGTCCCCCCCATGCTGTAGAACAACTGCTCATGCCTTTCACTGCCTCCCATGCCTCCCTTACTGCCGGTTTGCTTGAGCACTTTCGTCGGTTTCCGCCTCCGTGGCAGATGACATCCTCGCAGCAATTAGCAGAAGTGCGCGAGGATGACGACGAGCAGGACGAGGAGGATGAGACAGAGTAACGACAACTTCCTCACGTGGTCAGCCATGCAAGTGGATCTGGAATTGTGGGTTGGCACGCATGCTCCTGCCTCACTTCCCATTGTCTTGTAGTACACACGACACCACTCACGTTGTCGCGTCTACCCGAACAAACCACCACCCACCCATTCCCAACCCCGGCCCTTCCCCTCGCTCCGCACTGCAGCGTTTCAATTTTCAAAACGGTCACCTCACGACGGACTTGCGTAGTGCGGCGATGGTCGAAAATGCCTGCGGTACCGCGGTTGGGACAACGGCCTCAAATGACCGCGGTACCACTGCTTCTACCGGGCACCAGCAATGGACTGTATGATGTTATCAAAGAGGCCGCCAACAAAAACCAGCCATGATCCAGGAACAGACGAAATGTGCAAAAAGAAAACAGAAAAAAAACAAAATACCTGGTTTCCGCGGCTGTCCAAAGGGTGTGCTCTTGAATTCAAGTGATCTGCGAGAGGTGACTTGAATTCAAGGGTGATTTTGGCTGTGTCGCCCTTTGAGTTTTAAGGGTGCACGTTGGTCGCTGGTTGTTGTTGGCTTTGGTCCCTCTGATGTTCTCCCCCAGTTCGGACATTACACTCATTATATCCACTTTCCACAGTACTACGAGTGGTAGAACCCTTCAGTTTCATGCTGTGGGTCACAAGTTCGAGTCTGGTTCCAGACTTTGGGGGGGTCCGGTCCAGATAGATCTGTCTCTACCACATACACATACACACGAGATACTGCCCCGAAATTCAATAGCACAATTCGTACACACATACTAGCACAATCCTTACACACACAGTCATACATATACATAGTTCAAGGTACACACACACATACATGTGCTACTGGAGGTGATACGAGCACCTCCACTAGTACTCGGAACTAGAAAAATTGGGTCCATACATGGACTGATAGACACTTACACAAATATATATATATATATATATATATATATATATATATATATATATACTGACACAAGGACTGGGTGGAGGTTACACGATCAGCGGGTAATAATGATAGGCGTTTCGATGACCAAGTACCCCGCCTTAAATATACAGCTAGGGTCTGTGGTGGGAGAGTGGAGGGCGTGAGTCATTGGTTGGTCTGTTGGGTTCCAACCGGTGATGATGATAGGCGTCTCGAGGACAAGTACCCCGCATTAAATATGCAGCTAGGTCTGTGGTGGGTGAGTGGAGGGCGTGAGTTACTAGCTGGTCAACTTAGGGGCTAATAGGTGATTGCTTGAGCCTGGCGCCCGAAGTACCCGTACGGCAAGGCTCGTTCGACTAAGCTTCCACTAGGGCTGGGAAGCTAGCCCTGGTGCCTACCCTACTGTTCGGTCCAAGTTGCCCTCCATACCGATAGGGTGATGGTCCTGGGTGCTGGTCACACTGAGGTAGGATAGTAGAGATAGGGGGTGCGCCAGGAGTATTGACGTGAGGATGGGATGGGAGGTAGCCTCGCCTTGTCAGGGAGTCCACGGCTGACTGCGTCTGGCAATCAATGTGTGGGTCTAGTAACTGGCCTCTACAACACCCTGGGCTTAAAAAAAAAAAAAAAAAAAAAAAATAAGGGCGCACCCTGACGCAAAAAAGTGAAAACAAAGCGGGTCTCTCTAAGGGGGGGGTGGAACAATGATTTTTCACTTCGCTCTTGAACTCAAGTGGTGTGGAACGAGGCCCTTCAACCACCAGTACTTGGCCCAGCTATCGGCTGCGGAAAAGAATAGAGTAGAAACGTTTCTAGACGGAAGAATTCGTTCGCTCCTGTAGTAGTCCCTACGTTTCCTAAAATTCGTGCGCTCCTGTAGTAGTCCCTACGTTTCCTAAAATTGTGGCGCGGTAACCGACTCTAGGAAGCACTGGTGGTTTAACATAAGAAAAGGACCTACACATTCCGCCAGTCGAAGGACAGGCTGCACAGGCCCTATGTTCGTGATGATAGGCTACCCTGGGTGTGCTCCCTGCCAAGTTACAGGCCTCAACCCTGCTGTGGTTGTACTTGGAAAAGATCAACCTGACATGAGGATATCACCAGCGGGGCCTTGCCCTTAATATGAACATAGCACCTATGCGGGGCACAAGGTGGCCCCTCAACGAAATAGCTACGCTCGTGCTTGGGAACCTGGCTGTAATTATGGCAAGGTTCGTACTTTCATAGCATGCCCGTTGAGAAGTTAGACATAGGTTTGCACAACGTGATCTGCCTGCAACGGCTGTCAGATACTGCGGTAGAAAAATCCTGAACAAGTTCTTTCCGAACTGAAAGCTCAGGGTTCTCTTTCAAAAAGAAAAAAGCAAAACACTCAAGTTTCGAGCTTGTAACCTGTTGTGTTTCCATCCACCACACCATGAGTAGCGGTCTGATAAGTAAAAAACGCTGTGCTGTATTCTGAGTCGATTCCCAAGGTTCATGCCGGCGGACGCTTTGGCATGAGAGGCGACTGGGATCTGGTTGAGAGGGCTCTACTG